CAAACTCGGATCCAAAATTGAAAAAATAAAAAAAAAGAAATTGCGTCTGTACCAAACCTCTAGACTTTTTTTCCTTGTTATTCCCTAAACAATACAGTGTAACAACTACTTACATAGCATTTACATTATTAGGTATTATACGTAATCCAGAGATGATTTAAAGTATACAGGAGGTTGTGCATAGGCTGTGCATGTGCAAATTCTACACAATTTTATATCAGGGGCTTGAGCATACTCAGAGTTTTGGTATCTGTGGGGGTCCTGAAACCAATCTCTCATGGATACCAAGGGACGACTGTGGAGCTACACAAGAATCTGCAACTTGGGTGTATATTCAGGACACAATCTTGTTTTGTTTCACTGGTCTTGGAGAAATTTCAGGCTGAAACAAGCTAAGCGTCTTCAAATATTTTTCACTGGTTTTGTAGGTATGTGATTTCAGCAGTGTAAAACTTGTCGAGCTGGGTATGACAGAGCTAGAAGCTTATTAGGAGGAGCCTAGCAAACTGCTGTCTCAGAGTGAAGAACTAGACAGGAGTATTTCTACCTTTTTTTCTTCAAAGTGAGCTCACGTGAATAATCACGTTACCTTCAACAGGGAGCTAGAGATTAATGTTATTCAATATGGAAATACCTCAAAAGCAATAAGAGAGTGGCCATGTTTAGGCATAAACGTTGACTTGTAATAATAAAATTTCTTTTGGGAGTGAGAGATTGAGCTCAGATATTAGAAACAGGCATTCAGTTCTGTCAGCAACAAAAATAAGACATTATAAGGAATGGTGGGCAGTTTAAGTAACAATATACTCTTCCCTTTCATTTCCCTTGCCCAACTCCCCTCCCCCCCAAAAAATCAGGACCTGATTTTTGGTCAGAAGCTGACAATACTTTCTATTCTTTATATGACTTAAGTTTCATTTTTAAGTGCGTTTTTATATATAAACTACTCAGGTCTGGGATCTGGTTATGTAGGGTAGACAAACAGAGCTCAGTTTTGATCCTAACTTCTTTCACCATGAAAATGAGATTCCAAAGGTTGAGAAGAGTTTCAAAAGGCAATTAACATGTAAACACTTTTTTCATCAAGGGACCGACTTTTGACTTCACATTTTTCATGTGTATTACTGTGTGTAGCTGGTCATATCCTAAGCTCTAATAGCACTGATTAAAGGGAAGGCATTACTTGAACATTCATGAGGCCACTAATAACTTCAAGTACATCATGGTCAATTGGTGTTTTTGCTGAAACACTTTAATAAAAGAGGTGATATAGGTAAGGTATTCTACAGAAATAATGGGCGAAAAATGATTTCCTATAAAAGAAATTTTGATAAAACTAGAAAGATAGAAAGAAAAAGACTTCAGATATTTTTGTCTATTAACATTTTAGTTTGAGGGGCTGTTGGATGATGTGTTGTTCCTTCCTACAAGAATAAATCTTGAGTTCAACCAGTATGAACTCCTCAGAAACTTAGGTTTTTTGTCCCAGTTCCCTTCCCACTCTTAGTATGACGCTGTTGATGTGTAGCCCTCCGTCATTCAGTGTTGGTATCATTACAACCTGGATACACTGAAACTACAGTATAAAGGACTGAGAGCCTTGCGGTAGCTGACCCTGAGAAGACTAGTTTTAATTCTTACACTATTAAGTTTGGGTTTTTTTCAAAAAGTCTCCCAGAGATTCAAGTTTACATTTCACAGAACAGGAGCCCAAACTAATTGTCGTTTACGTAAAAATTCTCTCATTTTAACTGTCTGTATTGCCTCTGGGACACAGCTGGCCAAAGTGTACAGTCCACAGGGTAAAAATTATAATTATGATGTTTTTCCTATTGTTTTAATTTGCTCCGTGAATTTTTATAACTTGGTGTTTTGTACTGTATAAATGAAATTTACTAGAAGTGTACATAAATGACATTCCAAAAAACTGTAAGTTGATTCTTCATATTAGTTTTGATATTTTAAGAGGTATTTGCTAATCCTGCATATTTTAGCCACATGCTTATGTCTCTTACAATTAGTCTAAATAAACTTTAAACTCATTACCATACCTCTGAAATTTTAAAAATTGACTAATGGATAAGATATACTCCCCTGTACTCCCACCCACCAACCCATAAGGCAGTAATAACAGCAGTATAGCAGGGAGACTAGTGCAGTGAGGTTCTAGCCCCAGCTGCATTTGTGATCTTAAGCTTTCCATCTGTGCGAGGGTACTTCAAAAAAGTTCATGTAAAGATAGAATTAAGGTAATACAAATCTTTCCATGAACTTTTCGAATTACCCTTGTATTAGTTACCTGTGTCCACTGTAACAAACTACCACAAACTTGGCTTAAAACAATATAAATTTATTCTCTCACAGTTCTGAAAGCTAGAAGTCAGGAATTGGTTTCACTGGGCCACATCAAGTGCATGCGGCTCTAGTGGAGTGTAGGTTCCTTCAATTTTCCAGCTTCTGGTGGCTGTCTCACTCCAGTCTTCAAGGCCAGCATCTTCAAATCCCTCTGCTAGTCTTCACATGGCCACCTTGCCTCCTTTGTTTGGAATCTTCCTCTGCCTCCCTCATGAGGGAGACCCTGTGATTGCATTTAGGGCCCACCAGTATTATCAAAAATAATCTCCCAATCTCAAAATTCTTAATCTGGCTGGCTGGCTAGTTCAGTCGGTTAGAGCCCAGCCTCATAACCCTAAGGTCACAGGTTCAGTCTCCGTACTGGCCAGCTGTTATCTTTGGGTGCCATTATTCAGCCTACCACACCATCTCTCTAGGTTCTTAACAGGTTTTCTCTTCTGAAAAATAAGGTATTTGCATCATGTAATCTCTACAACAGTACTGCCAATAAACTCTGCAGTAATGGAGCTGTTCATATCTGTGCTGCTCCTAGTCACTTGAAATGCAGCTACGCAACTGAGGAGCTGAATTTTTAACTTTACTCAATTAGCTACAGGCGACTGTAGCCTGTCATATTAGACAGTTACAGTTCCACTCTCTGTAGTTCTAAATTCTGGCCTCTCTGAGGCACAAGTACGTTTTTTTCATTGTTGCTTCCCCTAATTACAACACTTCTCATATCTTTAACCTATTATTGTTTAGACATGGACTTCAAACTTTTTAGCATCAAAAACTCTTTTTACCAAAAAAAAATATATATTATTTGGAAAACCAAAGTGTAAACAGGACTGCACTGGTTGAAGTTGGGTACTGGGAGAGGAAGGAGGACCCACGGCAGACTCAGGGCCTCCACCTGCTCATTCAGCCCAAGTAACTCAAAGGACAAAGAACCACTACGACTCAGTGGAGTGCAACAGTTTGGGAGGGCAGTGACTATTCTCGAAAACTACTTGCTACAGCCTTCAGACTTGGATACTAGTAGTTGACACTGCCATTCTCTTGGCCCACTTTCACTGGACCACTGTTGATGTAGCACCTTATGCACTCCTAGTTCTAGGATGGTTTTCTCTCAATTTCTCTCTTTACCTACTTAGCTTTGAGATCACCTCATACAGGCCTTTTGTCCCACCAATACCCCTTACTCCCCCACATTGCTAAGGAGTCACAGCACTCTTTCCTAAGGAAGACTCACAGTTTTTACACTGGAGGCCTCTATCAATGGATCAGTTGCCACCCAAAGATATCTAGAAACTCTGCAGTAATAGAAATGCTCTATATTCATGCTGCCCCTAGCCATATGTGGCTACTGAGCACTTGATATGTGGCCAATGAGTCACATGGTTACAATTAACTGTATCCACTGATTTTTGTCCACTTTGTTCACTGATATGTTCACAATACCTAGAATAGTACTTGGCCCATAGTTAAGTGCTCTATTACATATTAAATGAACATTAAAGCTATTCTAGTAAATACCAGTATTGTCATTTTTTTCTAATATTGCAATGGCCATACAGTATTTTTTAAATGATTAAACTTAGTTATGATGCTGCTCCTTGTACTAGTCATGATGGCTTTAGGACTCAAGTTAAGTATTTTAGACTTCTCTTAACCCAGACTATGTCAGGCACTTGGTTAGACCCTAGGAATATGGTGGGACCCCAAATGAACTTGTCCTTTATTTAGTCCTGGGCCTCCAGAATGGATGGGCAGGGGCAGTTAGGCAAGCACACATGTAACTAACTGCATAGTGGCTAGGGCACTCCAGAGTGCTATAGAAATCCAGATCAAGAGCACTTCCATGGGGGGAGTAAGGGCTGACGGTGATCACAGAAAAATTGTGTTAAGAGCGGGAAAGTGTGCGACAGTAGGGAGCAGTGTAGGTAAAAGATAAAAGCATTCAGGGGCCTGGGAAGTCAGAAAGCAAGCTACCATTTTACTAGGGTCTAAAACATCCACCTTCCCCTGCATACAGACATGAAATCCTCCTCCCCTTAAAGGCATTTCTCTACAGCTTCACTCTGCTTTTCTTCCAAATCTTTAAACACATCCCTCCTCGGGGTCTTTGCACTCGCCCTCCCTCTGGCCTGGAATGCTCTTCCCCCAAATATATACATAGCCACCGCATCTCCCTCGGGTCTTCTACATTGAGCCAGTCCTTCCCTGGCCAGCCCTATCTAAAGTTATAAATGCCTCCACCCAGTACACACACATGTAATTATCTTTCTCCTTTTTCCCCCTTTGGCAATTCTAGCAAGCTAACATAATCTTGGTTGAATAAATTACCCAAAGAACTCCCTGAGACTAGACTTTAGAGTATGAAAAGAAATGAAGTTTAGATACCCTGCACTGCCGTAGAAGGCCCTCACCAGATGTACTCCCTGGACCGTAGACTTCCCAGCCTCCAAACCTATTAGAACACCGACACACAGAGGAAAGACCATGTGAAAACAGAGGGAGAAGACAGCCATCTACAAGCCTAGAGAGGCCTCGGGAGAAACCAAACCGGCCGACACATTGATCTCAGACTTCTATCTCCCAGAATTGTAAGAAAATAAATTTCTTTTGTTTTAACCACACACATAGAAAAAATAATGACTCCAAGGTGAATATTAAATACTTTTATTTAAAACTTCTAGAAAATGAGTTATCTGTAACTGACAAACAGGCTAATATCAAAATCAACTGCTAGACATGCAGACTACTTAACAGGAATGGACTTGTTCTAGCCTTTATTGGGCTCTGCGCACACCTTGCTAGACTGTTACATTACTTCCCGTGTGAAAATCTTCTCCATCACTTCCAATACTATACTCCAACAATCCAGCACCACTGTGCTTTTTGTATCCTTTTTTGTACCTCATTATGCTACACACATCAAAAACACCTAACACACTCACAGGTGCTCCCTTTGTGCCAAATTTCGGGAAACTTCTCTAGGTTCAAGGCAATTAGATACCATGAAGAGTTTGTATTCCTAACAGCCCTATTGTGGTCCTTCCCTCCTGATCTTTTACTGTTACACCAGTACACCAAATATCAAGAGGTAAGTGACCTTCCAGAACTCACATTGCCAAAGTTACACACGAGGTTTTTTGTTCAGAGCTACTCACCTAACCCGTTCCTTCATCTGTAAAACAAGAGAATATCTACCTCAGAGTTGTGAGAATTAAATGAAAAGATGAACATGAGCATTTGCTACACTGCCCTGTCACCGCAGGCACTGTCCTCCTCCTTGCTAGAGGACAGAACTCCTGTGGCAGTGCACAAACACATGGCTGCTACAAGTTAACCAACCATCAGAGGATCCCAGTTTCAATGGCTTGTATCTGTAGTTTTCAACCTATTTAAAAAAAAAAAAAAGAAAATTTTTAAATAGGCAGAAAAAAATTTGAGTTTTCAGTTTATCTCAAAGAATTTCCAGGAAAATCATGTCTGTACATGTGTTCCAGTCATCTGGATTTTTTTCCCACCTTCAAAGAAAACCAGAGTATCCAAATTTCCTAATTTATCTGAAAACACTACCTCTTATCGTCGGGAGTCCAAAAACCATGAACGTATCATAAGCAAAGGTTAAGTTTAAATGTATCATTTGTTATACGAACTGTATAAAAATATCACAAAGGTGCAACGTAACGAATTTTCTTCTGGTTCAGCTGTGACTCCAGACAGGATCCAAAGAGGAGTTTTAACAATCTCTTCTCTGGGTTTTATGGAGACTTACTTTACCCTTCTGTGTTAGCCTCTTAAAGCACTGTGTCAACCTTAAAAGGGCACAGGAAAGGGCGAGTTTAGATTTTTTTTCTTTTTTTTTTTAACAGTGAGTTCTCTATTTCCTGTACTGCTCTTTGGTCAACGTCCGATGGATCTCCACAGTGTCTTTAACAAGCCAGAAAACCTATTAGAAGCAGCTGTTCTCGGGCCGAGCCTGTGGCGCACTCGGGAGAGTGTGGCGCTGGGAGTGCAGCAGCGCTCCCGCCACGGGTTCGGATCCTATATAGGGATGACCGGTGCACTCACAGCACTCACTGGCTGAGCGCGGTGCAGCCGGTCTCAAAAAGGACAAAAAAAGAAAGAAAAAAAAAAAGCAGCTGTTCTGTTGGGCGAGCCCCTGCATGTAAATTTCCCTTCTGTTGCGGGAGAGCCGGATTTGGGCCTTTGCACCCAACGTGCGCCCGGGAACCCTTCGGTCGCCACTGACCACGTGCTCGGGGCCTGGGTCATCTCACTTCACTCAAGGGCAGGGACATACCTGTGCTTAGAATTGAGGCTGCTGCACCTCCGCAGTCGCTGGAGACAAACTCCCGGAGCCCAAAGTAGCGGAGGGTCGGCCCT